GGTTTGGGTAATAGAACAACGTAAATTCTGAAGTTAGAGGTGTTTAAAGATTAAATAATCCCCATGATAATCTACCTGTGAATGATAACTTGTGTCCTCTTTTCCCCCACTTCTTTTATTGATACTATGGATTAACCTGCCTCAGTCCTTCCCCAGCATTGCAGCCAAAGCACAACCACTGTGCTGCTATCACTCAAGTGCTCTATCTTAACATTTTCTTACACTTGCTGATCTACATCATAGAAGCACACCAATTTATTCATCATTTTACTCCCAGAACCATGCTTCAAGCTAGCTTTTTCATTTCTTTTCACCCGAGACTTGCAGCACACACAACATGCATCATCCTCTGTCTTTACTTTTTATAGGCAGATTCTTTTAATACCTTCTCCTAAAAGGTTCTTTTCATTTTAATCCCTGTTCTCCACAGCTGCTCCACTTTGGGGTATTCCTTTGAGCATAGATAATCAGAAAGAGTGTAGAGTATTGCTAGGAATATGAGAGCCCTAATATGTCCTGTCCTGATTGGAATTACCTCAACTTAGGTGCCCCTTTTGCGTTTGCCTCAGAATGCCAAGATAATTCCATGTCATTCCTCAGGCTTTCAGGGATGAAAAAGCAAAACTGTGCAATTATCAAATCATAGAATCACTTATGCTGGAAGGCAACTTTAAGGGTCATCTAGTCCAACTCCCAGTACGTCCCAAAGAATATGTCTAAGAAAAATAAAATATTTAATATAAACTATGTTGCAACCAGCTAATAGAAACAAAATGCAGAGATGTGGTAAATGAGCATCTGCAAGCACAAAAAAGGGAAAAAACTGATACATCAAAAAGCAGGCAAAAAAAAAAGAAAATTAAAATCTTAAGTAGCAGCATTATTTAAGACTCTTTACATGAGCTCCCAATTACTAGTAATCTCTTTGGAACAGAATTTATAAATAACAAAACTACCAGTTCATACTGCTCCCATTTCCATTGTCATTCTCTGTATTATTGCCCTGCTGGTTTTGCAATAAATATTTTAACAAAACTTATTACCAAAGAGCACTCTCACAGTGCTTTGACTCAAGGTCTTTGACAAATACTTCTGTATTGTGAAATCTAATGTGAAGGTTACTAATCTGCAGTATACTAAGTTCTGATAAATTTCTTAATTAATATATTCAATACAAATGACAAATTATGTCATCCTTTATGTCCATGTCTTTAATTATCCTGTCTTTCATAACATTTTAAGACATCTTACATGGAGTGTCTTAAGAGTCAGCAGTTTATGGGGCTATGGACTGATTTCATCGTTTATTACCTTCTTCCAGCTCACAGGTAGATCTTACAGCCTTTTACCTAGATTTATTGCTCTACAATCATATGGAAGTCCTAGATTGCTGTGTAAAACTATTCTAAAATACAGAATGTGTAATAAATATTCAGTGTTACGTGGGGGGAACAATGTTGTCTATTAAAAATGGCTTCCTATTAACTACTTGAGATAAAGTACCAAATTACGAGAGTCCAATGAAAACATTCATTTAGTGCCAAGAAGCACTCAGAAAGGAAAGGAATGGACCGAAAGATGTAGGCAAAACATATTAGCAATGCCCTCAGTAACTCCTAAGAAGGGAAGAAGGCAATCCATAAATTCTACAATTTGATCCATTTTCATCATCCATTTTCTTTCCAAGTTGTGTTAATTTTATGTCAACTATACACTGAAAAAATAGGTGTGGCAAAATGAGGCCTTCCGTGAATTTAGAGTCCTCATTTTTTAATTTTATCTTTAAAAAGTCAAATTCACTGTCACATACGTCACCAATTTTGCAAGCTCAGATGCGCACAGCAGATGAGAAAAATTCTGTATCATTCCTTGTCTGATTGTTACAATCACTAACCTGCAAGGTTAGCAAACTGGGAGGAAACCAAGCAAACAAATCATATGCATGTGAGAGGGACTTTACCAGTTCAAGAAGTGGTTGGTTCTTTAACCTCAGACACAGGCTCAAACTTCCACTTCTAGCCATACACGTTCATTTCAGCCTTCCCTGAATGTAAGCAGTTCTGGGATGGATTCCCAGAGAACAAGGACTCACCATAAGGAACTGCTGCTTCAAGAGATACACTCAAATGTTCAACCTAAATTCTCCCTTATGCAAGTCGCACACTTATAAATGGAAGTCAAATGAAGGTTTGCTTTTAAGACATGACTCTGATTGCTGGAGGTAGTCTTAGCTCCTACACGCAAGAGCCAAAAGAATAATTACAGACTAGAAAGGAGCCTAAGAACACATTTAGATATTACAGCTCGGCATGAGATAAGGAGCACAAAGCGGTGAGGATTAAATGTCAGCCTTAACTGTGATTTCCTTGCTTCTGCGATTGCTCTGATAAGCAGTGGGCTTTAGTAGCTCTCCTCAACGTTAAATTACAAGAACGCAGGGAGCAGAGACAGCCACATAGCAGAAAAACAATTAAATAAAACTGACAAACTTCATGAACTTCCTTGTAATTTTATGCATCTTAACTGACATAATTGTCCCAGGAAAATCCTTCTCTATGTTACTTCAGATTACCCAGGGACTGAAGGAAAACATCACAAAACATGCAAAAGCATTTAAATGAATTTCAGTTGTGCTGGCTTTTGAGATGCTCAGACATGAGCTTCTGTGGGATCCTGTCTGTCTGACTAGTTGATTAACGTTCAAAAGGTCATATTCAAGTATATGCACCTTACAAATAAAAGCCAATCTTTGTTAAAGCATACAGCAATAATGGTTTTCTCTAAAATATTATTTTATTTGTTAGTATTTAATGAAAACTGGCCAGTTTTAGCCTTCAAAACAATGCAACTATCGCACAGTGTGCACAGTTATTTACAATGTCTCAAGAAATAAAGAAAAACCACACATTTGTTCCACACAGTAAGTAATAATTAATTCTCTGTAGCTTTTTATAAATCTGTGTAAGAGTTCAAACTATTTCCTCAGGAGGAGCTACAATTCTTACAAACATCTCCATTTTTTGACAGTAGGCTAAGTTAGCGATTTTAACAATTTCAGCTTCAAATGATGCATATTTTCACAGCATGAATAAATGAAATAAGTACCCTTTTCCAACAGGATTCTGCTCTTTTTTTTTTTTCTTTTAATGGTTCACAGTAAAATGTACCATCATATTTTATACATCTCATCAGACTCTACACGGTGCACAGGATTTTTTTCCCCAGTTAAAGCAGCTGTTCTTGAATGTTTCTCCTTAAACATTTATTTTACCCTTCTTCCACATCTTCTCACAGCAATTACAATGGAAAACTTTGTTTAAAGATTTAAAGGCATGTAGAAACTCTCATTCCCAAAGTGATGTCTCTTATCTATACATTGTTTGGCAATTTCTTTTTGAATTCTTACAGTTTTTATCTTTGCTTTGCTAAAGGCTAGGCAGCACAAGTCTTTCAGCATAACTGATAAATGAAAAGCTACAGAAGACATTGTATTTCACTGCATTTAACCTACCTGGCCCATTTGAAATATACATAATGGGAGACTGTTCAGATCTGATGAACTTCATGGTCAGCATGCATTAGCATCTCAAGGACAGGCAAAATAAGAGTCCTATGAGAACAGCTCTTCCTGCCCACCATAACACTACATTTTCACCTTTTTACTAAAGGGTCATTGTGAACAGCATCACAATATGATTAACTGTTACATACTAGTTAGCTACTGCTGACTGGAACTAGTTTTACAACAAATGCTTTTATCACTTTCTTAGTGCTCTGAACCTCTTTCTTTGTTTTACTGATGGTATCCAGGCACCTGCTATCTACATCACACCAAGTACTTCTTTTCTCGCCTTAATGGTTTCCAAGCTGATGTTCAGTGTAAAGCAACACTGAGAAGAAAAAGAAATGCAATAACAAATAATACAAAGGTGACAAAACATCACACACAAATTCTAGGTACAAGTAAATTATAACCTCCGTCATGGTGGTTATGTCTTAAGAATTCAAAATCCTTCAGAAAAACCAATGGTCTTGTTGCTACCACTACTGAAAATGTAGAGAAACCAGCATGAATCTGATGATCTGTTTTCTACAGAGAAAGATGCATAGACCATATCCTTCCTCAAAAAACAAAAAACAAAAGTCAACCCACATAAAAATACTTCCAAAGGTTTGATGTTGTTGCTTTTTTTCCCCATAGCACTTGCATATTATGCCAGCATAACAAGTGAACTTTTAAAGAAGAAGAAAAACATGTCAATGCCTTTATTCCCTCTTCCTCTCACTTTTTTGTTTTTCGGCTTCTCACGCTACGTGAGCAACAAGCAATCCACATTCCATCACTGCACAGAAAGGATGAGACTCCTATACTTACCATAGATTCCCAGGCTTGGTATGTTGGCAGGACAACTGACTTGTTTGGAATGAAGCTGTCTCTATTGCAAACCAAATTTTAATCTCCTTGTATACTATGCTTGTATTTGCTCCAGCCCCAAAGAAAGTACAAGTTTACTCTGGAATGCAGTCTGGAATAGACTGTATGAACAGGCCATTTTGGATAAATTCATCTGTATCACTGAACAATCTCATACACCCAGTAGGAGAAACATGAACTAATTATTTATTATTTGCATATAAATTACAGTTTTGGATTTTGTGGCGTGATTCCCTGTGGGATCTTGGGCCAGTTTCCGAACTTCTCTCTAAATCTCTGCTTTCTCATTTGCAAAACAAATTTAGTTATGCAGGATGGTGTGGGTGAGGCTTAATTAACTCGTGTTTGTAAAGACCTTTCTGATCTTCACACACCACGCAGAACAAGGACTACAAAAAATCAGTATTAGAAGGTACAAAACGTGTAAGCCCACAAGCACACAACATGCACTCTGCATATCAGCTTCACACAGAAAATCTGTGCTAACGTTTCTTTGTAGCAGCAGCAAAAATCACATTAACAAGGAGTATAAAACATGCATATTAAAAATAAATAATTCACTTACTTCTTCCTTAGTTCCACGTCTGAAACTGGAACACATCTTAGGCCAGCTCCCAAAACCATGAGTGATGATGTTAGTAATACAGTCACTCTAAGACCTAAAATGAAAAAACAAAATTATTTTACAGGTTAAGTCAGCAATACTAAAGGTAAATAATTAAAAAAAAAAGACAAAAATGTGTCTAAATATATACATTTGTATGTAGACTCGTTAATTCATGCATATTCCTTCAAATTATAAACACTGGTGCTGATACAAACTACAGATACGTAACAAAATTCTGTGTTATTTTCCATAGTGATGCACTAGAATTAAAGGCTTATTCCTGGCATAATACCATTCAGGAACGTACCTAAAATCTTACAGACATTCCAGGAAGTGAAAACTTACAACAGACATATCATTCAAATTGTTCAACATTTGCTTTGCAATTAGAAGCATCAGGGAATATCCCCCAATGTGTAAAATCTAGGTAGATCCAGAGAAACAAAGTACATTTGTACGTTCTCTTCCAGCCACTTAACGATACAGATACAGCACTGTTGCTGTTTTCTCTGATAAAGCAAATACACTTTTCATTCTGAAGAAATATCTATTTATTCAGTAGAAGAGGAGGGAAAAAGAAAGTATTTTTTGCAGTCTTTGCAATTAGGCCAAGTTTTTGCTGCAGTCCGTTCAAATTACAGAGGTTGTAAATACAGAGCATTAGAAAAAAGCTACAACCGACTGATTCCTTGAATATGTTTTTCTTCTCCTCATACCACAATTCTAAAGCGAAGAGCACTCAGATTAGAAATAACTTCATGTCAGTGCTGCAATTCCGTTTGCCAATAGTTTACTGCTGCTGCTGAGGTGTTTCCAGCATCAATAAACAGAAATAAAACTGTCAACTGTGGAGCTGAGCCTCCAGAATACTGGGAAACACCAAGAGTAAATGTGTACAATTTAAAGGGTTGATACAGTCTGTATTTATAAAGTCATACAGTTAGAAACAAATTTACACCAGCAGGCAGAAAATGCAGGGATCCCATATTCTTAGCAGAACGTAACATAACTGAACGCTAACAAATACATAGCATCTCTAACATTTAGGCAAGACTAAGAGCTACCCAAAACACAGACAGAAAGAGAACAACTTGCTATGATGATCCACATAATACAGACATATGATTATGACTCTAAAGTGCCAATTTTCAGATACGCTCCCAGTATGTGAATGACTCTGTACTCCATACAATTCATCCAACAGTCACATTAAACATATTGTTCTCCTGCAAATTTTACTGGAGTTTTAGGGCATGCATTTTACCAAAAATGCAACTTTGCTTTTATTGCAACAGCTCTTAGCAAACCTCACTCAGTGTTACACAACTCCTCGTGTGGACACGGCACAAACCACAGCCAGCTCCTCTCTCACACAACCCAAGCAGGGCAATCAAAACAACACAAAGAGAATCTGATACGGAAGCATGACTTCTTCATTGGGACAGCTGAGTCATTAAGGACAGGAACGTGACAGCTCACACCCCCTAATGCCTCAGCAATGCACTGCAGGCCCTGAATACTTGTTTCCTTGAAGGTTCCCCAGTGCCTGCCCAGACTTATTTGATTCTATGTTTAGCCAGCACACGTTGCTGTTAAACTGGATTTTCAGGTGTGCGTGCCTACAGAGCCCTAACTAATGCCCTGATAGTATGCTGCTCACAGTCCAGGTGCAACTCAGGCCACAGCAGTAGATAAACATTAATCACAGATTTACATCACCCGATTAGTCACAGGACACGTACAGAGTTTTTCCTCAGTCAAAAGCATTTGTTTTCTCCATTTAAAAAAAACAAAAAAACTTCTCTTTTATATCTGCAGAAAAGTTTTATTAAAAAAAAGAAAAAAAACACACAACACAAAACTCAGCAGCACACCATTCAGTGAAAAATAAATTGGATGTCACAATTTCCCACCAGCGCTGACTCCAGGCTTATCTTTAATGTCAACCTTAGATGTCATGTAATTTTAAAATAAAATTACCAGGTAAAGCCTCAAAATCAAGATACGTTTCATCTTCGCAAATGTTCTTTCAAGTCCTCATTTAGAATTCTATACGCTGTAATGTGTCACTTTTCAGTGTTTTGATCGTGCAGATTATTCTTTGGCCTTTTGTTTCACCTTAACATGCAGATACATCTAAAAATTCCTCTGGTTAAAGAAGCATGTTGACAATGATAACACAAAAATGAAGAAGTAAAAAATGACTGTCTCAGAAGCAGTATATTAGGCATTTCTTTTGCTAATTACATGATGATTTCTACCCTCCAAACGTCTTCCCCATTTATTCTGCTTCACATTTTAACTCTCTGAATATAACCTCCATCTTACCCTAGGAATCAGTCTTTAATCATAGGTCTAGAACTATAAGTATTTTTTTGCTTTGAACATTGCAGTGGCTGTCAATCTGAGCTGGAATGTAATGGAAACACATTTGGAAATGGAAACATTGTGTTACTCCAAAAGGCAACCAGAAAGTGTTTTGGGACAGCACTGTGCCCTATGGGACTAGTGACCCAAGCAAGCTTGGAAAGAAAGCCCACCAACCCTGCAATTTCTCCCCTGTAAAAGATCTAAGGAACTCGCACAATCAAGATTTTGAGTGGACATAATTAAGTTTACTAGTTTTCCTCTGTACATGCAACTGCTAATGGATGGTGAGGGGCTACATCTTCTTAATATCTATCATCCAGATTCCAACCCCCTTCTATCACAGATTTGACATGTAGCTGGAAAAAGAAGAAACTTCTCAAAATGGATTCTCTCTGCAATGAAATGCCACCACTGTAAATAGAAAACCTGTAGCAAAAATGGTGTCAGTAATTAAAAAAAAAAAACATGTATATTGGTATTTGAGTGAAATAATCAATACTGTTTAACTGCTTAACCATCCTGCAGCTGACAACAGTCTGCCTTGCAAACTCAGCAGCCCACACTGAATTTGCTGGCTTTTATAATAGCCACAATAGCTAACATAGGGGTGCTTCATCTTTCACCACTTTTCCAGCACGTTTTATTTTCAAGATACATTCAAAGGTACATGAAAACACATCTCCTCCCACACTGCATTATTGACATGGATCTCAGCAAGCGATCTGCTATACCCGGTTTAGTAAGGAACTTACTTAGATTAGAGATATTGCACAGCTACAACAAGCTTCTCATGCTAGCTGTAAATTAGCAGTTTGTCATTCAGAAAAAGAACATTATTAACAACTGTTAATTGCCTTTTGAGACGTATGACCATTCCTTCTCACGCCTGTCACCCACTGCAATAACATGCCATAGAAATGAGACTGGCAGACTGTAAAAAGCCAAACCCTGCCTCGCACTCAAGTCAAAACTGAGGAAGTTTCTACTTCTGCTGTCCCACAGCAGCAGACACCTCACACATCCTCACTCTGAGCTGGTTAGCACTACACAGCCAGAGAGAACAAAACTCTTTAGTGCACAGCAGCACGCTAATGGCAGCCACTGTCTGCCTGCTTTTCCCCTTTTTTAATGGAACATCATTCACCTTGGGGAAAAACCCCAGTTAGGTGTGCAGAACAGGTTTCACCTTTTTGCCAAGCCTAATGAAAGCCAGTGGAAATCTGCAAAATTCAGACCCCACCCAGCACAGCTGAAGTGGATTCCTCTTATGCCCACGTCTCAAACACATTAACATGTAAGAGTTTTCCTTCCTTCAGCTGCAGACACTAAAATCAGTCCTGAAGAAAAGAGAATACAGCAACACTCAATTACAAGCTAGTGACATCAGCCCACTGCACGTTTCCACAGTTTCTAAAGATCAGGCCAGAAGCAAGAGGGATCCATCCTTACACAACATGCAGCACTTTAATTCCCTCAGGTGCTCTGCTACTGTTCTGGCTGAAGCATGGCAACCTAAAAAGACAATTCTGCCTTGATGAACACATATCAAGAAATGAACAACTCATCAATTTCAAATGCCATTCCAGAAATTCATTGTTAAATTGGACTTTTCTATCCAATTTAAAGCAAACTCAGTTTTCAAACAAATTCCTGCTTTGCCTTTCTTAATGGGAAAAAAAAGAATCAAGAGATCTTGCATTTTTCCCATCTACGAATTTAACATACATGGAGTAACTTTTACCTTTGGTTTCAGCAAATAAAGCACTGAGCTCCACTTTTTCCACAGTGTCTCTTTGGTCGTGGAACTGTTTTTGTACGTCTTGTCCAGACACCTTCCTCATTGTTCAAGCATCCTCTTTAAGATGTGAGCATTTTCTCCTTGAATACTAATGCTTCATTCTGCAGGAAGGGTCTGTTTCTTTTCCTCTTTAATGTGTGGCTCATGGGTTTATCCACATTAAAACAAAGCTGGGTTAAACTGCTCACTTCATCAGGCAATTCTGAAAGAAGAGCACAGAAGACCCTGCTTCACATTCATCTACTGCTCCAGAAATTTCTGCATTTTAAATGACATTCCAGCAGAATTACACTAATTGCTGTAGCACTTACTCTCACAAGGCTATTACTATCAATTTTAATCACTCCAAAGGTAATAACAAAAGGTACCTTGCTGCTAAGTACAGTGAACTAAACTTCTGTTGTGCTTGCACTTCGCCAGAAGCTGAGTAATGTCAATGGGGATGATCAGCTGCAATCCTCCCTCAGAAAAATTGTCCTTGCAACAAGCAGTACAATTCTCAAAAGAAAAGCAGCTTTACATTGGCATAAAAAGACTTCATAGCAGAGATGTGGCCCCAGTCTTTCCTTTTAGCTAATGGGCCAAAACTTGAAAAAAGAAAAATCAGTATTTCGGGCCCAATGTAGATTCCACAAAAGCACTTGATTGCAGATGGGCATAAGCTGCGTTTGGAAACTCAGTGAAAACAAACGTTCCCAAGAACACCATCACCTACACTCGAAAGCTTTACAAACTGGAAACTAATCGCAAAGACAACTAGCGAGAGAGAACAACTACAAGGTCATATTTAAGTCATCAAAAACTGCTCCTAGTTTGATGGCTTCAGTGTCACGAGGTGCTGTTATGCACAAACTGGATGTTTTTTCATAAGCATTTACGGTGCT